AAATATTTTAAATAATAAAATAATTATTAAAATTTAAAAAATTGGATCTAGATTACCGACCAAAGTTGGTCGGTAATCCAAACTTTTCTTGTCTGACCAGCTTGGTCAATTCGTTGACCAATTTACCGACCAACGTTGGTCGGTATTTAGTTTAAAAAAAATATAAATATTTTTTTTCCCCAGTTTCCGTCCAACCTGGACGGTTTTTGGTCGCATTTTTTGACCGACCAACGTTGGTCGGTATTTAGTTTAAAAAAAATATAAATATTTTTTTTCCCCAGTTTCCGTCCAACCTGGACGGTTTTTGGTCGCATTTTTTGACCGACCAACGTTGGTCGGAAATAGTTTGGTCGGTTTTTAGCAGATTTTTAGTAGTGTTATTCATATATTAAAAGTTATAATATTATTAATGTCATGATTTGCTATTTATAAAAATAGTATTAAATATGATATATAACTAATACTATTAGTTACACGAAGATTGAAATATATTATAAACCAGAGATTAATAATAGCAAAACACGCCTTAGAATTATAGAAATGTTGGAACACTATGACTCACATTTTCTTAGAAGCTAGTGGAGCATTTCGTCATGTGACATATGTAGCTAGTCAAATTAAGGTGAGATGGTCCAAAAAAATATACTGTACTGGATAAGAAGGAACTTATTGAGGATTGGGTATATTGTCACTTTCCTCTGAGGCTACTTGTAATAAAAAAAATTCAACTTGTTTGACAAAATACTTGTCTTCCATTTGTTAATTTGATGAAAGTGGTTGATTGAAGATAGTATTAACAAGAACATTGTTAGATCTAAATCTCCATCTGGAGTTTACGATGGCATACAAATTAGAATGTTTTATAAGATCTCTAACTAGTTTATTTGTAGTATAAATGTTTTAAGGTAAATGTTTAGATAATATTAGATCGGGCTAATATCACAGATAGTATCTTAACTTTATTCGTAAACAGTAAAGTGACATAACTAAAATGGGTATGAAATAGGTTAGTTCATTTAGAGGGTTAAGCGGCATCTGATGTAACATGTCACAGTAGATTTTTGGTGCAAAGTATATAATTAAAGTATGTTTTAAGTTTGAGTTAAGCGAGATTTATCTATTTGTAAAATCTAGATTTGATACGTGAATATACATGGCGACACGACACTAGTTGGGACAAGTGTCATTCTTGGGGATGAATGAACATTGAGAGTTTGCCCTCATAATAAATAATTTCGACCCGACAGCTCCTTTCTTGAGAGATGGAAGCAGTGTCTCGGTGAAGCACTCCAAGGCGGCTTCGGGGATCCGTTGATAAAGCTATAATTCAGAGTCTTGCTTGGTTTTCAACCGCCTATGAAGTGTTACGTTTAGAATTTTAATAATGATCAATAATCAAAAATGCCTTGGCTAATGTTATCCCACTTTGTGTGCAGATTTGCAATAGCTCTGATGAATGCAAGAAAGGAAAGAAAATTATACAAGCATATCAGAGGAAGCCAACTGCTATGTTATTCAAACTCCATGCCAAATGGAAAAAGAATCAATCAAACAAGAAACAAGGAAGGAAAGACAAATCAATCAGACGAGCTAAAGATTCTCAAGCATGCAACGAAGGAAAGAGAGCCAATCAAGGAAACTCTGGGAAAACTCTAAACAAGGTTAATTGGAGGAGCCAAAACTTCAAACTGAGAATAAATCTGGCCACATATCTCAAGCTAGATTCATGAGGTTAACCTTGTGTCCTATTCTTAGAAGACTATGCCTCATAAGGAAACACCTCCAATTAATGATCTTTTGCGATCCCAGAAAAGAGAAATCAAAAGACTCATCGAGCACTATTAAAGAAGAAGTAGAAGGACAAGGAGGCTCACGCAACTTAACATACATTTCTACACCTTTCTAGTTCTTAGTACAAACACTGTATTTTTGAGTCTACAAATATCGCAAAGGATAGGAAAAGTTAGAAAATAAAACAAGATTTGTATCAACACTAGATAAACATTGTTGTTGAATATCATTGGTGGTGAACATACTAAAACCATTATTGTTGTAACACTACAAAAAACGGATAAATTGCGGAGGGTATAAGTAACCTCTGCAATTTTCATAATTTTGCGGTAATATATTAGCCCCCACAAAATTATACAATTTACGGGGTCTAAAATATCCGCAACCCTAAAATAATAGCGGGTAATTTATTTCACACTCCCTTCAATTTTTCCCAAATCTTTTTCGCCCTAGAAACTTCCGCCTCAACAACAACAAAATACTCCCACCGCTTCTTCTTCATTAATCAAGTTCTTCTTCTTCTTCTTCTCTTCTTCTTCTTCTTCTTCTTCTTCTTCTTCTTCTTCTTCTTCTTCTTCTTCTTCTTCTTCATTAATCAACAAAATACTCCTACCGCTTTTATTCACTGAAAGTGAAGATGTAGCTGAAGAAGTGGATCACTTATCTCCTCTATTAACATTTTCTATACTTTTGAACAGTGTCCAACCAGTTCTTTCTGGTAAGTTTCTAGATTCATATGTTATAATATGTACACATAATTTTCAAGATTTGATGTCACAACTTTAAGATTTCTCTTTCTTTCCTTATTTCCCCTCATGGATTTTCTGTTAATTTTGAATTTTTGTGTGTATTAAATGGTCGATCTGTATGAATTTTTGTGTATTTTTTCCTTGCTTTCTTTGTGCTTTTGGGTTTAATGGTCGAATCGACCCCTGGTTCAATGAAGCATCTGTGAGCCTTTAGTTCGAGAGCTTTTTTTCTGTATGTATGTGACATTATCTGCATAAATGGTTGTTGCACTAGGTTATTCATAAGTTGTTGACCTCTTACTTGGCTCTTTCAAGTTGTTTTTCTGAAATGTGGTGCTAGTTGTGTGAAAGATTCAAAGAGAATGGATGTAAGAAGAAACACTTTTCATGTAAATTTCTTCCTTTAAAGAAGATGATTATGATTGTTACAAAAATAATATTAGACAATGGCATGCAAGGTCGGCGGTGACTGTATGTTGTCTCAGAATGGTGTCTTGCAGCATACTAAATACCGTATCACACCTCTGATTGTTAAGAAGAATCTTAGTATATTGAGGATGATGATAATGAAACAGCACAGCACATACTCAAATTCAAGGGAAATGCTAAGCATAAATTAAGAAGGAAGTTCTAATTAATTACAAGGTACAGAAGTAAAACAAGTGTTCAGTGGACACAAGTCTATAAGTCCATAGCATTTTAAGCAATCATAGGATAAAATGGATAAAACACCGCATTCATAACAGAGAATTTTTGGTTTTGTGAAGCAGTTGATTTGTGTAGTTTGTGAAGATCTGTTATATTTGAGTGATTTTTCTCTGTTAATGATTAGATTGGGATGTAAATTCTGAGGAAATGGAATGAAGTGTGTGAATTGATAATCGGCTTAATGTATGCATATTTTGATAATATCGCTTCACATTTTGCCCATGTCTCGGCAATTTGAGATGTTTAATATGATTATTTGTGCTAAATTTTGGTATTTCTATATGTAGGGATCATTCGGATGCAATTTGGGACGAAAGGGCGCGAATTGGAGCGAAATCGGGAGAAAAAGGCAAAAATTGAAATTTGAGGGCCACAGCCAGCGTGGGGCGCTGGCTGTGGTGCAATTTACAATAGCTAAAATATTTGAGCGCCAGGGCCAGCGCCCAACGCTGCCCTGGACTCTCAAGACGGGAAAGTAGCCTTTTTCGACTAGGACTCAATTATTTCGACCCCTAGACGCCCCCAACTCATATAAAAGCCAACCTAAACCTATTTTTAGAGGTGGGACGTGACTTTGAGAGAGGAAGGGAGGCGCCAAACAATCGGGAGCATGGATTTGATCAATTCTTCCATCCCTTTCCTAGTACGCATTGATTTTATGTTTGAAAACTTTATTTTTGATGATTGTATGAACATGAGTGGCTAAGAACCCTATTGTTCTAGGGTCATGGGTGATACATGAATGTTGATATTTGAAGTTTAATTTGACGAAATTGATTTTATCATATTGGGTTATTTATTTAATTTTGTTCTTAATTATTTTGTTGAGTAGCTAACAGTGAAATACTATCTACGAATCTAGAGTTGAACTCGAAAGTGGGAATTCTAGATTGCATATAGAATTAAATAGAGCAAGTTCTTGAACCCGGACATTGGGGAACAGATTCACAATTAGGATAGACATATACCTAATTGCCTTGCTCGGTTGAAATACAGGAATTGTAAATACATTCTTGTTAATCTTAATTCCATAGACATAGAGGCATTGAGTTAGCTTGAATAGGCGAGTAAGGACTCGACAGATTCTTATGAATAATATCAACCCTGTCAATCAACAATCCAGATAAATCCATTAGTCATTTTAAGCTAAGAACGCATAATGATTGATAACTAACCCGTGACCCTGGAATATTATCTGCTATTGATTGTTATTCAAAATTGTTTAAGTATTGTGGTTGATTTCTAGTATTTCATTACTTGATAGTTTTTAGGTAGTAAATTAGAAAATTATCTATTTTGTGAGAAATCGCTTGAATCGATAAGTTATTTGAGTTTGAATTAGTCAAAAGTTAATCATAAGTCTTCGCGGGAACGATACTCTACTCACTACTCTATTACTTGACGACCATGTATACTTGCGTGAGTGTGTTTGGTCGCAACAAGTTTTTGGCGCCATTGCCGGGGACTTAAAAATTAGCTACTTGACTGAGTTAAGATTTTATTAGTTATTTGTTCAAGCTCTAATTTTCAGTTTACCTTGTTTGTATTAATGCGGGTTCTTCTCTTGAATGCGGAGGAGTAGAAGCGCAAACAATCTCCTTCCTCTTGATCTTGAAATTGAACGAACACTTCACAGAATCAGGAGGGAAGTCAAAGCAAGAACTAGAATAGAAGGAGAGTTGGACATCATAGTTGAACCACAGCCAACAGAGATGGCAGGTAATGAAGAGCGTGCGGTGATAGAAGCCTCAAGGCCCAATCTTGCTAATATGACTCAGGCTATTGTGAAGCCTGATATCACAGGGCATTTTGAACTCAAACAGTACATGGTACAGCTGATTCAGTCCACAGAGCAATATGTGGGTCTATCTCATGAAGACCCGCAGAGGCACATTCAAAATTTCATGGAAATTACGGACACCTATAATTATTCGAATGTTTCTAAGGACTATGTTAGGCTGACACTATTTCCCTTTTCACTGCTGCGAGAAGCTAAGGAATGGTTGCAAAAGGAGCCCGCAAACTCAATCCACACTTGGGATGATCTAGCAAGGAAATTCTTAATCAAGTTTTCCCCCACTAAGAAGACAAAGTCGATGAGGAGCCAGATTCTTGGGTTCCAACAACGGGATGGCGAGACACTGCGTCAAGCTTGGGAAAGATACAAGAAGGTACTCAGAGACTGTCCGCATCATTATCAGACTGATGAGGTGTAGGGTCACACTTTTGTTGATGGGCTAGACGAGGCATCAAAGATGAATCTTGATTCAGCTTGTGGGGGTAGTTGCATGGCAAGGTCTTATAGTGAAATACAACTCTTGCTAAATAGCTTCACTGCTGATGACCATAATTGGCAAGGAGATGGGGACTCACGAAGAGCAATTAAATAGAAGGCAGCCCGGATTAATTGAGTTTGATGACTTCTCAGCCATGAGAGCCGATATAACAAAATTGGCAAATCAGATAAATAGAATGACAATGCAACAAATACAACATATGCAACATGTACAACAAATATCTATTTGTTGCGAACTATATGGTGACAGTCATATGAGTGACATGTGCCCCACGAATCCTGAATCTATATACTATGTGGGGCAACAGAGCAGAGTTCCAATGAATCAGCATGCACAATATGGAAACACTTACAATCCAAATTGGAAGAATCATCCTAACTTCTCATGGGGCGGAAATCAGCCTAATCAGAATCACTATAGGCCCCATGGAAATTTCAATCAGCCTCAGAAGCCACCCCAACAAACAGAAGAGAGTACGAATGACTTGCTAANTAATTAAATATTCTATTGGTGGATGTACTTCATAAAATTCCAAAGTATGCTAAGTACATAAAAGATATAGTGGCTCACAGGAGGAAATTGACTGAGTTCGAGACAGTTGCACTTACTGAGGAATTCCTCAAAAGCTTAAGGATCCTGACAGTTTCACCATCCCTGTGCGAATTTGTAATATAGACGTGGGTCGTGCTCTTTGTGATTTGGGGGCGAGCATAAATCTAATGCCATTGTACTTGTTTAAGCAATTGGGTCTGGGAGCTCCAAGACTAACCACTGTGATGTTGCAATTAGCTGATAGGTCCATAGCCTACCTTGAAGGAGTGATTGAAGATGTGTTGCTGTAAATTGGGAAATTTATCTTCCCAACTGACTTCATTATTCTAGATTTTGAGGCTGATGAACAAGTTTCAATCATATTGGGATGACCTATCTTGGCTACTATTGATGCAATAATTAAAGTGAGAAAGGGAAAATAATTATGAGGGTGGAAAATGATGAAGCAGTTTTTAATGTCTACAAAGTGATCCAACTTCCCCGCCACTATGAGGAGCTCTCTATGATATCAGTTGTGGAGGTGGATGAACAACTTCTTGACACGAGTGTATATCTAGATGATTCTCTAGAAAAAGCACTCATGTTTTTCGATAGCTTGGAGATTGATGATGAGGTTGAGGAGATGATGCATCATGTGCTTACATGCAGGGAATACACCCGTTTGAGCCCCTGAATAGGCCAAGTGGCTCTCCTCCAAAGCAGTCAATTGAAGAAGCTCCAAAATTGGAGCTTAAACCCCTACCCCCTCACCTTCAATATGCTTATTTGGGTAGTTCTGACACTTTACCTGTTATTATTTCTTCTGAATTGTCTAAATTGCAGGAAGAAAAGCTGTTGAGAGTGCTACGTGAGCATAAGCGAGCAATTGGGTGTACGATGTATGTCATTAAAGGCATTAGTATAGCTTTCTGCATGCAT